TTTTCTCTTTAAAATTAGAGATTTTTAATGGTTTTTTTATTGTCGTTTTCCTTTAAATTAAAATTAATGAAAAAAAAAAATGCTTAGTCTTAAGAAGCTAAAAATTCAAAGCTGTAAATACTAAAAATTGTATGAACTCTTGAAATATTTGGAGTATAATAAAGTACAATTTAATATAGCCAAGCAATAAATAAATTAAATAATAAATAAAGCAATTAGAGATGGTGCTGTTGTAGTTAAGTAGTTTTTATTTCTGTTTTGAAAGATGACATTAAGTTTATGATTAGTAGGAAACTGTTTTGGTAAGGGGAATGAAAAGTATGTTCCAAAAATTGAGCAAAAGTTTTTTAACAGCATTTTTAACAAAATTTGGTGGGTGTGTTTTTCAAAATATTAGAACACCTTAATATATTTAAAAAAAAAAATTTAATTAGCTCTGATATTCAATTTAATTAAAAGACATTGCCACTTTATGCCAGAATACATATCAAGTGAAGATTTCTTTCAATATTACTGCTACAGTATAAAGACAATATAATTTTTAAAGATATTTTACTTTAATTTATTCAAAAATTTTAAAATCATTCATAATTTTAAACGATTTTACTTAATACTCGTACTGGAGCATGTCTTTTGAAAATCTTTGTTCCTGTTGAGTACCGAAAAATAATCTTAAAAACATACTCTTCTTTTATTAAAATTATTCATTATTTTACTTGTTGAGTCTAAACAAATCGGTTTAATTGAATAAAATTAATAAAATTAAAATCCTGTACAATAAACGTTTTTTCAAAGTCATAATACACCGCATAAATGACAGAATTTTGTGTAAATGAGTGCAAAAGAGATCAATGAAATCATGATAAAAATTTACAATATGCGTCGACTCCATGACAGTTTTACTATTATGAAAATTTAAAAGAAAAAAAAAATAGCAAAAAAGAAATAAAAATAAGAAGCAAAGAAAAATATAAAAGCATTTGAACTGGTGTTGTTGCTTTCTATTGTATTTTTTTTTTTGTTTTTTTTTTTTTTTTGTAAAATAGTAGAAAAGGATAGACGAAAGTAAAACAAATTAAAAGCTTCTACGTATTAAAGCTTCTTATTTCTGTTGTTTTTTTGTTTTTTTTTTTTATTTGAAAATAGGCATATATTTTAATAAAAGTGTGAATTTGCTGTCATTGTCAAAAAAACAAAGTTTCATTTGCAAAAGAAACTTGATTAAGTTTAATTTTTTAGAAAAAAAAAAATAGGCAAATGGAAAATAAAAGCATTTTTTCTATAAATTAATGGTTTGTGACTTTGCTAAATTTCAATTTTAAAAGGATTTTTAAGGATGAAAAATTTTTAATAAAAAATTTGGGACACCAACAATGAACAATTGAGAAAAATAGAACGCATGTATAACGCACATACAAACATACATATTACATAACTTCGTTGTACCCTTAAACCTCCATATCAAATATTTCATAATTTTAAAGAAAAGTGATTGTTTAATACTCGTATATTTTGAAGTAGAACGCTTTATTTTCCTGCTCGTTTCATATTTTTAAAAAAATTTTATATATTTCCATCTTTTCTTAATTCGCTCTGTTTACATAAATACTATATACAGTAACTTTAAGAAATCGACTCCACGTACAATTTCTTCTTTTTTTGAAGACTAATAAATTTAAAAGAGTGTGGCATTCAGTTATTATAAAATATATTTCTTGTATTTATATGTACATTACCGAACTCGGCGAACGAATTCGAATATAACATTCCTAGTGGTCGGTGTTTGAACTAAAAAATTACATACAAATAACAACAGACCTATACCGGCGTACGGTAAAGTTTTGATATGTTACACAGGCAGTTCAGTTGATTTGATTCACAAAGTAATACACAAATTGATATCTATATAATAATATCTGTATGAAAGTGCTAACAATTCTATATACATGTTTTATGAATGTTTGTGAATCTAAATTTAATTTATGGTACCTCTGAAAATATAACGTAGAACTGGTTTCTTATTCCTGTAGAGGTCCTGTGAGTGTAACCACGTTTACCGAAAAGGTTTTTCATTTCTTATGTTTTTGCTTTGTTATATTTTTAAGTCTTATACTATACATTGAATATTATTAGCTTAAAAAAATTGTTAACATAACTGTATGGGTCATCTATCAAATACTCTGAATTCAAAAGGTTTTAATGAGTATATTCCTATTAATTCGAAAAATATTACGAAAACTAAACGAAACCAATCAGTTATCTAAAATTACTCAAAATTGAATTTTTCAAGATAACCCAATATCATACGAAAATTCGTGCAAATTGGAGAAGCATGCTGCCTAAAACGTGACTAATTTAATATTTATTTTCATAAACACATGAACTTACACACTTTTATTTATTTTTAAGGTTATTTTATATAATGTCATAAACTTTTAAATTATTCAGAACTATAAAATTTTTCCGTATATACAAAAAAACTATGTAAAATTGTTGGCTTATTATTTGATATTATAGAGAAGCAATATCACAAATTAATTCAATATAAATCATAAAAAAAATATTTATTTAACATAAAGTTGTGACGTCACAGCTTTATGTTATAATTTTCATGCAGTTTTCTCTTAAATATCACTAAATTGTGAACTTTTACCTTAATTATTAAGATTTTCTACTGTACATAGGAGCAAAAGGTTTTAATTTTTATTGTTATAAAATTTCATTATCATTTATTATTATATTTTTATGAATTAATTGACGATAATTTCGGTATACCTCAAAAATATTTGTGTTATTAATAATTTATTTTTTTTGAACACCTAACCCAAGACTTCTTAACACGGTGTGAACATTGTACACGGTGCAAGACACGCTTTATGTAAATTTGTTTCTTGTTCGATATTGGAATTTAGTTATGGACTTTTATTTCCTTTAAGGTTTTTTTCACTATTTTACACCCTATCCACAAACACACTTAAAGAAAGAAAGAAATTTTTATTATAGCAAACGAAAATACAAGAATTTTTGTATATGTTCTTAAAAATAGCCAATTTCAAGACAAGTGACATGAAATTCTGTCACTTATACGACACACACGCATAGTCTTACTTTAAATAAACTTTCTGTATATATTGTGTCTACGTTAATGATCTATTATATGTATATTAACGTCCTGAAAAACACAGTTGTTAATGAAAAAATATAAATTTATCTATCACTCTTCTCAATTACACCTCTGACCTAATGTATAATGAACTATATATGTTCTTAAAAGTTATTAGGCATTAATTATGCAATTTAATGACTAAATAAAGCAGTGTGTGCCTTAAACATATTATAATTTCAGAAGGAGCCAGAAACAAAGGGTTGTAATACTCACTTGAAACATTTTTTTAATTCTTTAAGCATAAAGAATTAAAAGTCATATCAACTCAATATTTGCAACGAGGGGGTTAAAAAAACGTTATATGTTACGAGTATAGTACTATAACAAATTGAAGTATAAGACATAAGGGTTATAAGCGTACAGTATATGCGTAATTATTTTACATTTTTAGACAAAAACAAACAAAAAAAAAAATTTCGATTATTACTAATGTTCACGTGTCAACTAATTCCATTTGAATGATTCGAAAAATCACAATTGCTTACTCTAACAATATTTTAGAAAGTAATATTTATTGAGAATTCGATACACTAATGTTTACAGAACACTAAAAGGAATGTAAAAAAAATGTTTCATTTAAAAAATAATTTAATTTTGTCCTTCCTAACATTATTTGTATTATTTTTGTATTATTTTTGGGCTCTGCGGCGAAGTCAACACATAAAGCGAAGTTTCGATTTTTTCGATCGAAATTTTCATAGTTTCATATTATATCGACATTATGTAGATATTCGCCAATTTAGATGAACAAATTTTTGTTAGTATGTCACGTAAAAATTTCACTAATTGAGCCATTTGTAAAACTGATTCAATTTATTTTTGCAAGTTATAAAATATAATAATCTACAATAACCTTGCGCTCACTACAAATTGCCAATTTTTCCTCTATGAGTTACAAAATTTAACAAACATAACTGCCAGCGATTTTAACTGCTTTCTAAAACAAATTTTAATTAGTAAAAATCAGACACTTTAACAATAGACTTATCTGATTTAAACGTACTTTTCAGGAAACCGCGTCAACTTTTCTTTTCCAATGATTTGCCACAGTTTTTCGAAATGAAAATGTGCTTTCATTTAATCCTTATTATTTTTAAATTAAATTTCTCATTTCTTTTGACGTCAACAATAGTGGAAACTCCAGAACGTAACATTCACATACGTGCACACACAAACACACTTAGGTGTTTGAGTGAAATCCAAAAAAAAATCATTTCATCTAAAATTCTAATATTACGTGAAAATTTTTACCGTTTTGGATTAATTTGCATACAATAATAATAATACTTGTAGAATTTTTTTGATTTATTCTACATACAAACACACATACATAGAATCTAATAGTGCAAAACAAGTATATTGTCAATTACAATTTATTGATGGATTGAGATAACCAATAAAATTTACGTTCACATTTTGTAGTCACAATAGAATGAAATATAAAATGTCACGTAAAACGATAAATTGATATTTTTTTTTTTTTTTTAAAGTAAACTTTTTTGAAAGAGTATCGTCATTTGCCTTGTCGATTGTATAAGGCAGACAAAAAAAGAGTATCGGATTAAATGTATAACAATGAAGAGAAAGTAGATAGATAAACAAGAACAATTTTCATTTTATCAAATCAGATTTACTTATTAATTTTTTTGTTTCTATTTAATTTCATTTTATTGAAATATCTAGTTAGTATATTAACAGTGTTCCTAATTAGATTTTTATAAATTTAATTTGTAGATTCGATTGAAAGCGGTCGTTCTTATTATTTGTATATCGGGTGAATAAAATAAAAATATTTTTAATATTAAAATTAAAACTGTTATATAAAACTATTAAAATGTGTTTCGATCAATTATATTCTATGGAAGAAGTTGCTTTAAGGAATGGTAAAAATGGTGCTAGAACATGGTTAATTATCAAAAATTCCGTATATGATTTAACAGAATTTTTAGACAAAGTAAGTTTTGTCAAAATAAAAGTAAAAAATTAAAATTATTAAAATAAAATAATGATTTAGTTGCATGTTTAAAAAAAAAAAAATTATTTTTGAATACTTATGGTAGTAGATGGAAAACTATGTAAAAATTTAGCCGCGAATTAAACCAAATTAAAGGAAACATTTATTTTAGAAGAGTACATAAAAATTATTAAATATTTTTTTAAATTTTAATTGAGATTTGATTGTTTCTTAGCTACAGTGTTCCCACTCGGTAAAAACAAAATGTATCCAATTTCGAGAAAAAAATGTATCCAAAATGTATCCAACCTCGTAAAATAGCATTATTATAATAAGTCGTCTTATTTTGTACAAATTAACCCATAATTAATATTAATTTGCTTTATTCCACAATATGAGTTTTGTTATTTATAGTAAATTCTTTAAGAAATCACATACAACTTCTATTATATTTTAAATGTTAAGGTCAGAAAAAATATATGCATATATGCCTTCTGTAGTTGTTGAACTATGCGGTAAAGACGATTGACCATGAAAACGGACAAATTTGCTTAGAATAGTCAGCAAATAACATTTATTGAAGATAAAGCAACTTCGCGATTTAATATTAGCAGCATTTCAACTGTTTTGTAATATTTATTTCGTGTTTGAAAAAAAAATGTATCCATATTTCAGCAAAATTTTAAAATGTAGCCAATTTCGGCATTTTAGCAGATTTGAGTATCTTTGTATCCAAGCTCAAATTTCAAAGCAAAAATGTATCCAAATGGATACAATTGTATCCAAGTGGGAACACTGCTTAGCTAGTATTTTTAAGGCAGTATAAATCCTATCAATGATTCATATTGTGTAATTGTACTGCTCCCGCCTTTAGAGGAAATATAATTGTGCCTCAGTGAATTTCAATTGTTGAACAAATTGCTAATGTTTGTAGCTAAGATTTTCTTTTTTTAAATCTATTAGTTTTCGTGAAGAAAGTTATTGTTAATGCTAAAAAATTAAAAAAAATTGTTGTTTGAACAGAATTATTGAAGATGATAAATTAATATTTCACACTCTAAACGACTGTAGTTACATGATAAAATTTTGTGCCGTAGCGGAAAACGTTGTGGGTAATTGGCAAGACTAAAAATTAATGTCATAATCGTTAAAGTATATAATTTTGACTTTAGATTTGTTGTTCATATAAAGCAGCTGTCGGCAAAGTGCGGTCCATTCAACATTAAAAGGCGATTTATCATTCTGTTTGCAAGAAAAACAAACAATATTCGATTGCAATTATTAAAATTTGAAAAAATTTTTTCAATTCAAAAATTTTAAGAACTCAATCATTGATGATATACTTAGATATTAGGCAGAGGAAATTTCATATATATTTTTAAAAAAGAACAAAAACAAACAATAAAATCAGTTGAAAATGCCATTTCTTCTTATAAATAGGTTATGTAAGTAATTTTAAGCGATCCATACTCATACTCACATAATTGCCCATAACCCACAAAAATTTGCCGACGATTGATATAAAGGATGTTCAAATTTAGGTTAATTTTTTATTATTGTCGTCATTTTTAGATTTTTATATTAAAATAATTTTCATTTAATGACAGCTGTCAAGAATAAGTATTCGCGATTTGCAGAAATTAATAAGTATACGATAACGACAACAGCAATGAACAACACATTACTAAAAATTATTGTCAAAAAGGGTAATACTTCATCATTTCATCAAAAAAAAAGTTATTGGATTCTCGTTCTGTTTTTGACAATTAAATATACAAAATTTGTAACAAATTTAGAAAAAAATTAATTGAAATTTGAACGGCCACAAATACTTGAGTATTTTCAAATTCAGAAAACCTAAAGCGACCGCTTTCAAGAGTCTTTTAAAGGAATTCTGTTAATTGCCTATATTTTACACAGTTATTAAAATATTACTCACATATGCTTCCAAAAACTAATATCTCTATATAAAATATTACTCATGCTAGACAAACATACCCTATTTTTAATAAAATATCGAATTACACGGCTATATGATTCAGTTTTCATTCAAGGTCTATTGTTATTAAACACAATATTGTAGATCAAATATTTTTTGAATTTTTAACTTAAGTACATGAAGTGTATATACGTAATAGATCACGTAAAATATTTACAATCTGATTTCTAGAAGTGCTTCCGATTCAAAAAAAAGATTCAAAATAAAAAAATTTTAATCAGAGTCAATTTGTAATCTGCACTATAACTTTTAATCTATACGCAATAAAACCTCTTCATATATAGGTTCCCATACTTAATAAGAATATTTAATATTAGTTTTACTTGCAAATATAATCAATCTAATCAAACATTATTACTAAAGTAAACATACCGTAATATCTACAAATATTAAATATTTTATAATATAACATAATATACGCGACAAAATATTAAAAGGGTGAATGTATTCTTTCATATCTAACTCAGTTTATTTTAATATAAATATTGAATTTCTATAATAAACTTCAATTTATTAATTAATATTTATCAGCAATCTAAAATATTAATTTATTAGAATAATATTTTATGTAACATACAAAAAACGAGAATAGATATAATTGACCGTGTCAACTCTATGATTCCCGAACGAATTAATTTCGAAGATAATTAACATACAGTTTTATACAACTTCTTGTTTTTATGTGTCTAATGATATTTTATTCATATAAAATAGTTACCATATAAACTCATACTCTCTTATGGCAATATTTGAGCTTTGTAGTCTTAATATAGTCTGAGCTATGAACAAACAGCTTATGAAGTTGTATAGCAGTCACCACAAGTAGTCGAGAAATTGCAACGAGTTTTATCAAATATAATCGCCCCACCAATTTATTTGCTTGTGCAAATTTTCAAAACTATATGCTGAATAATTTCTGTGGTAGAACCAACAGCTTTATAAACTAATACCTCGATTATAACTAATTTAAATAGATTGTCGGCATTTACTACTCCCAATCACTTGTCAATATTTGGTGAGGTTAACTCAATTAGTTTTTGAAACATCTACTTGAGTCTATATCTCAGATCATTATCTTTTAACGTTACAAACGAAATGGCAAATCTAGTATACCTTTCGAATATACGTTTGTACGTGTATAAAAAAAAATTCATATTAGGGATTATAAGATTTTCAATATGAGTACTTTATGAAAAGAAATTTGATAACACTCAACGTTTAATCGATAAGTAATATGTGTAATGAAAATGATGGTTGATGATAAATTGTATCTTAAGTATTATGGCGCACATATCACAAACAAAAACAGAAATTGCCTGTAAAACAAGCGCTCGATGGCTACTCTATGTCGCACGGTTCCGAACTTATAAGCATTTGTTTACATGCAAGAAAAATTTGTTTGAATCGGCTGTAGTAAAAGATAAGTATATCTGCACCCTCGAACCCCTAACAAGTTCTTACTGGAAATTGATCACAGAAGCATCCCTGAAATAATTTTTGCCACCTTATGCAAAACATTATGTATACAAAAGACCCTTGTTATATACAAAACACGTTTACAGAAATTAAAATTCACCTGAATTCACCTTCCTTGAAACGTAAGTTAATTCAATTTCACATCCATATTCTTGAGAAAATATGATTTGTAATATATTTTCAAGAATAATATAGTTTTTTGAATAGTCTCATGAAATTTGATTTATATATTTTCTGAAAATTCTTAAATTAATCCTAATAGGTTTAATGCAACTAAATAGAATTCCTACCATACTGCAAATTGCTTATTAAAATTAACTATTATTTCTTTTATTATAAATTTTGCAATAAAATAATTTTAATCACGTATTTTTAAGCATCCCGGTGGCAGTGATCTTATACTTGAATGCGCTGGAAAAGATGCAACAAGTGCATTTCGTGATAGTGGTCATTCAATGGATGCTAATCAAATGTTAAAAACATATAAAATTGGTGAATTAGCAATTATGGTAAATAAACAAAAAATTAAATAAAATAAACAATTTATAAAAATATTTTAATAATTTTTAAATTTTTCTATTTCTAAATTTTAGGAAGAAAGTTCTAGAGCTGGTTCTTTTAAGTCTAATCCAGGTGATTCAGTACATAATGCCAATGAAACAACAACAAGTCGAAAACATAAAAAACGTGTAAAAATGTTCTTTTGTATATAGAAACATTTTTATTTATATTTTTCACTTTTATATAGAATTTATTATAATTATAAAAATTGATAAATATTAAGGTATGAAATACTTTAATTGATAGTTGTACTAAAATTAATAAGGAAACTAAATAAACGTCGTATTAGATGTAAGGAAATTTTTTTAAGAATAAAAAGTAATTTGTTAAAAATTTAATTTTCAAAAAAAATTAAGAATAAACTCAAAATATTTATAATTTCTTTAAAAAAAAAAATTGAATTCTTTTTTAGTGTAAATGACTGTTATCTGTATAAGGTTTCTTTAAATTATTTTAAGTAGTGCCTCTTCCCAACATCATTCACAGGCTTATGTAGAACTTACTCAATAAACATCTGGCGAGGGATTTTAACTTTAAATTTACGTATTCAGTTTTTAGCACTAATATTAAATGATTATGTAAGTAGTCATTTCTACGAAGACCCTATAATAGCACCCATCTCGCATGTTCGCTCTTCCAAACAACACGATTATAATTTACATTTTTCTTATGAATCCCTGATGTTAATAGACGAAAGAATAATATTTTTATAATACAACAAAATATTGAATTTAACAATGGCTGTATGGTGGGTGTCACATACGAGTATTTAATCGTAAATACTATTTATGTATAAGGTATTACATACATATCTGATTAAGAGGATTAGTTATTATGTAAGAAGTTTAAATAAAAGAAGTTAAGCAAAACAAATTATAATAATATGTCGTAGTATTAAAACATAAAAATTTTACCATTGCTGAAAAGTTATAGTATTTTAATAAAATTGACCAAAAGATATAAAATTTTTTATAATAATTTTTGCTTTTTTTTTATTAATAACATTTTTACAATACATATTAATTTTATTTTCTTTTTGATATTTTATTTTACATATAAAAAATACGTTTTTTACAATAATTTATGTTCAATCTGTAATATTATTTTGTACACACCATAGTTTTTTTCCCCTCAGAATATTTCACCTCAGCACTTATATGTTGCCATCTATTATTTTTAAGTAAAAACTATGTTTAGTTTATGTTATGTAGATAAAAGATAAAAAATATGGGTTTGAGACTCTACTAAATACATTATTTCACCAAAATATATTATTTCTATCAAAAACCCTCTTTTCGTATGTACGCCATCTTTTAGCTGAAACTAAAAATTTTACAAAAATTTTTTTAAATTTTTTATTACTTTTAAAAATAATAATTCTTATAATTAATATTAATTTATCAATAAAATCGGGTTGAAAGTTAAAAATATTGTAAAATTATAATATTTTATTTAAATTTACATAATTCTAAAATTAACAAATCTATTCTACATAATATTTATAATTTTACTGTACAAATTTAATTTACATACTTACCAAATCAGGAAAAAGAATAGCATTCGAAAGATTAGAGAACTAATTTTTTAAATTCTTATATTTAATCAAATATTTAAGAAATGGAATATTTTCGTGAAATTTCAAGAAAACATGCTGTTGAAGTCAAATTTAGAAATATTTATTATATTGACCAATTTATTAGTTAAAATTTAGCCAAAGTGCTTGTTTTATAAAATGCCCCCGACCCCCTTCCAATATGTTATTGCTATTTAAATCTTAAACGCAATTAAATGAGTAAAAATAAAACAATACATTTTATTTTTTTTGAGTTTTCTAAATTCTTCATCTAGTAGGTATTTTAAAATTTTAATCGTAAGAGTACTTCAATCTATGTACATATCTCTCTAATAATTTATTTATGAAGCTATAATTAAAAATAATGACAAGAGTTACCATACAGAAAGTTCAGCTCTACATTGTCTGGTCAAATTTACATAAATTATTGTTTTATGATAATTAATATTCTGAAATAAGTTCTGTTACATAATATGTACATTAAATATCTACATTTTATTCTATAATCTGCAAATTATAATTGCAATTCAAATTTTTTTAAACCCGGAATATTTTTATATAAATAAAGCATTCTACAATTCCCACATACCATTTAAAATACCATCACATAAATTAATCTACTGAATTTTTATTGTGAGTTAAGAAAAAAAACATGTAGGCTATATGTACAAAAATAACATTTTTCAACATAAAATGCAATGGCGTTAAATTATTCCACAATTATTATTGAAATTTAAATAAAATTCTGTACCAATTTAATTTCGGCTTTAATAATATTACTTCTTGCTCTACAAATTGTTCTGAATTCAGAAATTCGTAGTCCTAATTATCTCTAATTGCATAATGAGTAGTCAAAAACATTGAGATTCGAACGAGAAAACAAAAAGTTAACCTAAGTAAATCAAAATATCTTTTTGTTTTTTATTAAAATTCAGTCTTTACTTTTGTTTTTTGATTTTCTTTTTTTTTTTTTAACTAAATAAAATATTTTTTTAATTAATTTATTTACAATTTATATAAACATTTTTTATAAACAATCTTTGTAATTTGATTTTTAATGATTTTATTTGCAATTTATTTCTTTTCTTTAATAAGATTCATAAATTTTTTATAAAAATAATTAATTTATATTCGAAAATAGTTCAATTCATAAAATACAAAATAAATAATTAATTTTGAAATTTTTACATTCTAACTTATAATATTATACTGTAAACACCTTGTCTATTTTGAATTCTACATAAATACAATCAAACATTTTTAAAATTAAATACAACAAGTATGAAATAAGTTTTAGGTTATATTTTTCATTTTCCTCTAACAATAATACTACATACAAGTTACAATATGGAAAATTAAAAGAAGAAATTATAATTATTGTTTGCATTAAAAAATTTATTATTTACAATAGAATAATTTATATTTTCTCTCTTTATATAATATGTATGTATGTTTATGTAGGTACACTACTAATTGCTACTTAATATTAAATTAAATAATATTATTTACAATAACTCTCTTCACGTAATCTATGACAAACGTCACATTTAACCGAACAACACCATACAAATTTACAATTGCATTTAAATGTTGAATAAATTATTTTTGTATTATAGCCCCTTCCACAACATATTAAATTACAACTACCAACATCTAATAAAGTATGATTACATTTTCTTCCATGTGTACCATGTGAATCATATTCTAAATTTATATCACAAAATGTTGGTGATGAATTAAGAAAAACTAGATCCATGGTCTTTGGTGGTAATCCAACCCGATAATTTTCCAATCTAAAAGAGACATACATTATATATAAAGAATAAAAATAATAAAAAATTAATATTATGATTTGAATGAATATTAATAATAAAGTAGTTTATTTGTCAGATTTATAATAATTTATCTTTTGACATTTTGCAAATTTAATTTGACAGCTGAATAATAAAAATAATAAAATAAAAATATCAAAATATAAAAAGCAAGTTTTAAATGACAGTATGTGCATCATAGTATTAGAGTAATAAAAAAATAATAATTATACAAACCTATGAATTACTAAAGTTAATTTATTTGTTTTTTTATCTATTACAGCTCTAACTTGTCTAGCATTATGATATCTTTGCATAATAGCATCTCCAATTTCTCTAAAGGATGGTAATTCTTTCCAACATGTTTTTACACCACATGCTCCATAACGACATCTGCATTCAACTTTTAAGCGATTTTTAACTATCTAAAATTAATTAAAACGAAAGCAAGAACAAAAAAAAAAATAAAATGAAATAATATTAATAATAATTTATATTTTCACAATATTTTAGAAATTATTGAAAATTTAAGGCATGCTTATTCATAATCTTGAAATTTAAAAAAAAATAAGTCATTAATGAATAAAAAATGCTCTAAAATATAATTCTGTGAAGATTTTTCAAGGTCCTAAACCAATTTTTTGACAAAGTTTGGTTAATAATGAAAATAGAGGTGAACCCCTACAAAACCCGTTGAGACTGTGATTCGAAAACTTCCTATAGTTAAAAAAATATTAAGGATGCCGTACTTTTGGAATATCCACAGAATTATTTCATTTTATTTAGTAAGAGCTCAGACAGACATGTAATTTTTAGATTTTCAACTGTTTGATTACTTATTTGTATTCCACAGATTTATAATCAAACGCGCACACAAGCAACTGTATGATCGCATGCAATTAAGCTGCAATTGCTCAAGAACTATAAAAAATTCATGTCTATCTGAGCTCTTAAAGTATAAATTTATTATTCTTACCTTTCTACCAACTTTATTATTATGTAAATTCATTAAAGTTCTAGCATCATTATCAACTTCACGTGCATCAAAAAATTTTTTAGCAAATCTCATACCAAAACCAACATCATGAGAACATCCACCCCATGTCCATGGTTGATCAGCATCTAAAAATCTTTCTGGATTATGTCTATCACGATGTTTTGCCTTTTGATAATATGTACCAATATAATCCGTATTATTAAAAGCGTATTCAGTATATGGTTGATCATCGGTTGCAAAACCATGCGGTGCATAAATTCGATAATTTTTATATTCACTACTTAAATGACGTTCTGGATGATCACAGCCACATGAAGATATTTTACCTTTTGCACATGCTTCTGCTATAGCATATACAGCTCCGGCACTTGTAATTGCGTAAGTATATGCAGTTTCTCTTGTTCCTATAAAAATTGAAATTAAATTTTATATTAAAAGTATTGGGATTTACGTATAAGTTAATAAATTTAGATTGCCAGTTTCGTAATGCACTCTTCTACAATGCAGTGCAATGGATCAATACAACTTTTCTAGCCGAAATTACTAGTTTAGGTCCTGAGTCTATCTAAAATCATAAAGTCAATTACCAATAATATTACTATAACGAAAATTGGAGTGAATTTCGAATATAGGTGCTGTATTCTATTTCTGATAGAATCCGGTTCACAATCAAAAAACATGAATCAATTGAAATCATAAAAATCACAACATTTTTGTACCCACACAAATGTGAACACGCGTTTAATGTAAAAAAGATAACAGAAACTATTTTTACTCAGTCTATAAACCATGAAAAGTTTTTAATTATTTCATGACTTAAAAATTACGATAGCATGTAGTCCATGCTTGTTAAACAAATTTTTACGAATTAAAAAACAAAAAATAACAAAAAAACAACAAGAAGAAGAAGAAAATCAGATCTTTTCAGTAGCCGTGTAATATGTTTTACATCTTTTGAACAAAAAAATTCCAACATACATGCATACGACACTTCCATTGCTTATAAATATACGAATATATTTGAAAAACTTGTCACGAGTTTTTACTTGAAAAAAGAAAAAAAAAAAACAAGTATTGAAAGTGCGTGTGCCATCAAAAAGGATCAGCAGAATACATAAATCAGTGTAAAAATGTAGAACTGTTTCGTACCTAATCATTTATGAATAGGAGAAAATGATATACTATATGTAAGAATACTAGCTTTCAGAATTATTTCAGAACAAGAAGTTGAAGAGCTATAGTGTTTTGCATAATGAATGTGATGTTTGCACTAAATAATACTAACCGCGTGTAATAGATAAATTACAATTTAACCCTTTTACAGATAACTAGCGACATATTTTACATAACGTTCTCAATGGCTCTGATAAAATGGTTAGAACAAAATCACATTCAAACAAAAAATTAAGACGAATAAGTGTGTCAAAGGAATGAAAGATCTATTGGTTAGGGACCGTTAGATTCATTTTTGCAAAAAGGTTTGTGTTCTAAATTGAAATTCAGAAACTTTGTTTCATATTTTACTCACGTTTCTTTTTGTTGTCGCGCATAAAGTCAATTCCCTTTACATTGCTCTGACAAGAGACAGATAATATTCATCAGTCGTAGGAAACATGAAACTGTTTGAATTATGAATGAAATAAGTTTAAGTTTAAATATTAAATTTTAGTATATAGGCATAAGACTAAACCAAGGCATAAGAGGCATAAGAGTAAACCAAGAAAAAACCCATATTCAATATAAATTTTCAGTCTAAAAATTTAAATCTAAAAATCCTTTGCAGAATTAAAATTATGCATGCAGAGCATGTTCGTTAAAATAAAGAAAACTTATTCCGCGATCGGGTTAAATAAGTCAAAAATAAAAAACTAGAAAAACACAAAATTTTTACAACATTTAGAAAAATGTTGGTGAATAACTATTTTTTCCGTGTTGTCCAGACTTGTGTTACAATTATTCAAAAAAATTTACAATTTATAATATAATTTTTTGAAATGAACATTGTGATTGCATGTTCCTTGTTTGTTTGAATCTAATTTTTTTCTTAATCAAACAAAATTTTCTGCATAAAGAGCAAGGATATTTTTTTGAATTCCAATCTATTAAATTAAAGTTCCGTCTTACTATGTTTATAAATTTTAAAAATTACTGATCAAGTACAATTATAAAATATTGATTTTTTACCTATAGATATAACATGATTGAAATAATTTTCTTTCCAAACATGTGTACAATTCCAACGGTAACCTTGAAATTGATGATTGCATTCTTCTGCTCCCATATGATAACCTGTACTTAAAGCTATTGTTGCATCTGGGACTCTTGAACATATTTTGCGTTGTGCAGGTGTAAGATCCCGTATTGAACCACAAATTATACTTGATGTATTGGCTTTGATCATTCTAAAACGAAAAATAAAATTTATATAATTAGTAATTAGTATGAGGTTTTTGTATGGTTAATTATTGACATTCTTTATTATATAGTAAAATTAAAATAATAACAAATTCAGGAATGTGAGGTTTTATATAGAATACTTTTTTCCGTTAAAACAATGGACAGTGTGAAAGTTTTCCTGTAAACTTAAAATTGAAATTTGGGTCTCCATACAATGATAATTTACAAAACGGCTCCTATTATATGTTCCTACTCCTAGATATACAAAAGATATGTTGTTTCTATAGTCCGACTACAAACTCTTTTGTTTATCATAATTATAAGCATATTTTTCCTATAACTAAAGCAAATCACAGAAGTATAAGCAAATTACATGAAAGTTGTATGCAACAATAAAGTAAACTATAATTTTAAATTGCTAATTATAAAAACATAAGACTGCAATAAAAGAAAACTCTCTTTCAATTACTTTTAAATTCAATTTATTTTTACGATTTTCAATGTTTCCGCTCCTCTATATTTGATTTTATTTATTTTCTTTAATTAATTGAATAAGTATATATACGAAAGATTGTATACAATTTCAATTTATAAAAACAAAAAAAATTATTAGGTTCTATTTTATTACTTAAAACGCGCCTCTACCTATCAAACTAATCATCAAATCTATTATATTACAAAAGTGTATAGTAGGTACCTACTTTCCTTTTTTTGTAAATCGAATTAAATAGTTCAAATCTTTAAAATACTTATATTAAAAGTTTAAGAGATAAAATTATTTCAATAATAATAATAAAAATAATAATAACAAAAAGAAAACGCAAATTGAAATTATAAAATATGTATATAACCACATCCTTTCACAATATCTACCACCTCTTTAAGACACTCGTTTATATATACCAATATATTGTATATACATAAACTGCTTAACTGCGGAAATAAAAGGTATTTATACAAATCGCACCCTCCGAACAATACCGTAAAAAGATTACTAGCAATATACTAGCAATTAATAAGTAAAAAGAATTAACTGGTTGTATAAACTTTTGAAAAAATTTCCATCTTTTTAATATTTATACTCAAAATTTTGGAAAAATTAATGTAACTAGATTAGAAATTATGAGAGGAACCTTTAGTATAAGTATATTTATGGAGATTCCGTATAATTATGCTGATGAAATTTTTATAAATTTTATAAAAAAATAAAAGTACATTCCAATTATAGCAATAAGTTTTGTTCTGTCGTTCATAGGAAAATTTCATAAAAAATTTGAAAATGAGGAAGAATTCGGTATAGTGGTTTTTAAAGAACAAGATATTAATGCAAAAACCCAAATATCAATAACTTCCACTACAATTCCAAGCTGCGATCAAGTATCTTTTGAAGCTGTATTTCAACCACCAGTACTATAGCTTCAATAATTTCTGAAATATAGCCAAATAGTTTGCCTTGATAACATCCAATTTCAATAAGGTTCGGGAATTAACTACTATAAATCATTTGTGAAAATTCGGTGATTTTATGGTTTTTGACTTATCATTGAGACAGACGGTTAGAAATGATTGAGTCGACTCAGAATTCGATGTATGTTTGATCAAAAACATACACTTATGTTTATATCTCAGATCACTATTTCTTAGCGTATAAGTTTATTATACCCTCCGAACATACATTCATAAAATTAAATTTTTCTTTTCATTAAATTCAAATTCTTTAAATAATGTTTTAATCTTTCATTGGAGCTACAAAATTTTTAACTACTTATATAAATTTTAGTACATTTTATTACCATAAATTATTATACACAATATTGTGAATTAAATGAAATCGCACTCATATAATATAAAAGATGAAAACATTTTATTAAAGGAATGAAAACAATATAGCATATTCACATATACTCACAATATCTACATAATATATATAAACATATAATATATAATATACCTATATATGTAAATGTATGTGGTATATTCATTTAATAGAAGGTAAAATCATTTCAAGGTTTAATATTACCTGAATGATCATGATTTCAGGTAGATCGTGGATCACGATGAAGATGGCTCCTATTTTTATGAACTATACTCAAAAACAAAAAATAAATAAATAAAAAAAAAAACAATTCTTTTATTTTATTTTTTTTTTCTTTTTTTTATTATTATTTTATCCTTTATGCAATTTCAGTTATAACTTCCATCAAATTACAATTCAATGTCGGTAGTAAATGGTAGTAAGAATATTAGTAGTTTTATTTTTTATACATTATAATGTATGTACATATGTATGTGAAAATAATTGAAAAAAAAAAGAATAAAAAATTAAATTGGGGCTAAGTGTAATTGTACCAACATTTTATTCTTAGACTCTTAATTTTAGGGTAAAAATACAAAAAAAAAAAATTAAATTAAATTAAAAAACTATTCTTGTCAACTAAAAGAAAATTGAGCTAAAAAAAAATTTTTTTGAAAATTGTTTGTGCTTAATAAATTTAAGAACAAAAGCGTGTCTATCAAAAGTTGAATTGAGAATGGGATTGCTGAGTTGATTGCTGAGTTGATTGCTGAGTTTCAATACAAAATATTAAAGATTTGCTGTTCAAAAAGCAGGAACAAAGTTACGTCACAAAAGAAAATTCGATTCCGTGACCAATGCCGAACTACCGAAAATTTCCGGATTTGGGCCCTAATTTCCTGCAACCTAATATGATAGAATAAAAATGCTTCTTCTTTACGAGAAAATATTCATTAAAAAATTTTTTTCCCAGAAATTCATAAAGTGTGAATTAAACACATAATAATTTTATTTGAAAAATTGGTTCGACTTGGTTCCGCAAGGTGGCTTGATTTCCCCTACATTGGCAGTCTTGTTTGTGACACTTCTTTCAATTAAACACTGTGCATTATTAATTGATATTGAATTGTATTAGAATTTTTCATAATTTGATGAGAGTAAACATGTTACAATCGGTTCCTTCCATATAAAGCAGAATGATATAGCAATTGAATCGATGACATTATAATGGACAGTATGCACCAACTTTTTTCGCCTGAACGTATGCAAATTAATTCCTGTTTCAGTATGTATGCAGTACTAGCAGCTCAATTATTGAACGTATGCACTACTAGTAGCTCAATTAATTCCTGTTTCAATTTCGTGCAGAACTCTTTTGAATTATTTTATGTGAAACATAATGTGTTTAACATATGTCATATTTTTACACTTTTACATAAAATGAAATAAATCATTAAGGCAAATAGAAGACACCCCTAATTTCGATTCGAAATTAATAAGTTTAAAAATTAACCATTTCCAAGTTTTATAAACTCAGGTAAACAAACCAAATGTAATATAATTAACGATATTGGTTTACTGGGAAAAATCAAAGATAGCGGCTATTACTCGTATGAATATATGGACAGGTTGCGAAGTAAAGACTCGATTATCACCATTAATACATAGTTAATTAAAAACAAAATCTATTATAATTTTTCTATTGTGCATGGAAGAAGAAAACTTATATACTCTTCAAATCAGCCTTTAACGGATATCATAAAAATAAAAATTCAAGAAAATCAACAAAAGTCATGTTCTTTCTGTTCCAGTCCTTTGTAGTTCAACATCTGCATCATCAGAGTTTTTTTTTTGTTTTTTTTTTTCGTAATAAGTAATTGTGCTTTTGCAAAAATGTTTTATTGTTTCGTGAGTTAAATTTTTTACCTTTAATAAAATAAAAATAATGAAATATAATAAAGGCACAAAAAAGAAAAAAAAATTCAAAATAATCGACAATACTAGGAGGGTGGGCAAGAGAAACCTATTTTACCTTGCACAAATTAAAAAATTGTTTTTCTTTTCCATGATTATTATCATACCAAGACTTATTCTTATTTTAAACCAAGCCAATTTCAATTGTAACATTGAAAACAAAAAAAAAAAACTAAGAAGAGCACACAAAACCAAAACAATAACAAAATGAAAACCTTTCCGAGGCTTCCATCAAAATAAAAATGTGATCAATGATAAGAGCATGTTGCTTCGTACGTTATTAGCTGTTTGAACGTCAATACGCGAGATCTTTAGTAAATATTACTTGTATTCTGAACGACAGAGACTGAGTAATGAAAGCATTATTAATTCCCAATAAATAATTTTCTAATCACTAATCAATAAATTCTGATAGTGAATTTTTATATACATATTTTTAAAAATATCGAATTTTTTCTGTAGCTTTTAACATAGCAGACGCGTTTTATAATTTTCTTTATGAAACAAACTTTTTCTTAAATTTTATTAAATATAAAAAGAAAAGCTTGATAGTTGCAAGGTATAGGTTTTATTTTCTGCAGACAGAAATGAGCAAGGGTCAATTGTCCTCCTTTATTACTGCAACTTTCTATGGCCTATTGTATACTTCTAAAATCTCTGACATATATTCATTTCGCTACCTAGTACTAACTAGATTTACCTAGCAGAAGGTAGTACTTTCATTACTATATAATCCTAAAGAAATCCCGCCTAAATTATTTAAACCAGCAGCAGGCAGTTGTACACAGAATGTCTGCGCCCGCGACCAATACCCTTTACAGGACACTATACATCAAAGAATTTAGCAATAGCACGAGTTATATATCCATTCATCTTCAATAGTACTGAGAAATTTTTTTAAGCATAATAAACAAAAAAGTCCAGTGTAAATTTGACTCGGGCAAAACACATTCACTACTAATTTGACAAACATAGGGAACATATAAGTAAAGAAGGGAACGGAATGCGCGAAAACATAATTAACGCTTTAGAAATTGCATACTGTAAAAACCATTTTTTGAATCTTAATTTCCTTATAACAACTAAGTTTCTTAAAAACGTAAACAAAAAAATATTTTAAAGAGAAAAGTCTTAAATTTTCATATAAAATATAGATAAATTAATTATTTTTTTCAAAACATATTAATAATTTATAACAATATTTTATATGACATACGTTCTTATCTTTGAAGACCA